TCGGAATTATTGACTCTTTAAAATTTAAAATTAAATTATTATATCAACTTGAAAGTTATTTTTATTGTTTAATATCATATATTAAATCTATATATTTTTGCCCCATCACACAAATTATGCATAGACTATGGTACTTTTTAATTATATTGTTATTGATAATTTGAGTTAGATTATTCACCATGGTTATTCTTTTTAAAGAGTTGATAGTATTATTACTTATACTATTATTCACATATACGTACACTTAGTTATTAAGATTTATAAATTTCCACTAAGAACAGATCTTTCTAGAAAGTGAAGAAATCGATGTGGGTATATATATATATATATATGGGTGTGGTGAATGTTATTGTTTCTGCTATGGATGGATTTGAAGCACTGATCACATCTACACCACTAGTTGGTAGCTCCATTGGAAAAGAATATGTAAAAGATGAAATTGCATATGTTCTTGCTTGACAACTAACTTCCATTCCAGGCAATCAAGCAGCTATTTTGTACTACAAATTTAAAGTTACATGCACGTCTCCTTCATTTCCTCCTACTCAAATCTCATTTTCAACCTCTTAAATGGCATAATATCAGAATATTCCAACCCCACTTTACTTTTAGTTATACATATATATATATTCTTTATATTTATTAATATCTACTTACTTTTTATATGTATGTATGTATGTATTTATGCATGGAAGTCATGTACGGATAGCATTCATTTGGTGGTATATGAAAATATGGAAATGGGTTCATCCATCCAAATCTTGATGCATAAATTTAAATAATTAATAAGTGATCACCCCCGTGTTTTACCCGAAAATGTTACACCAAGCGCTAAAGCATGAGTATTTTGTATTCCTTGAGCAAAAACATATCGTAATTATATAACGATATCTAAAAACATATCTTGTGAACATTCTGAAACATTCATGATATCGTTATGAACATACAAACGAAAACTGAAAAAACCTAAAGATATACATACCCGTTACTTCTCTCTATAGATATACAAGTTCAAGTCGAGCTATTATTATGTATAGTGTTTGTCTCGAAAGAAATTTCAATACTTCCAATCGATTTCAATCAATGAGATAATTTTTACCCGTCCCCTTTTATAAGATGAGATTCATTCTCTTAATTTTCATTTTTGTGTAAAATTTTTCTCCCTGTTTTATCATCAATCAAAAAATGTATACAAATAGTTTCTAGTCCAAGCATAGGGGATCAAAGATAATATACAGGGGGGAAAAAGACTCTCAAACAGAACCATGTAAATCAAGAATTTTCCAGATATATTCAAGATGCATAGAAATCACAAGGCAAACAAATTTATATATATATATATATATCATTCAGATAGATTGTATAAAACAAACAGCAAGGCTAAATCTACAAGCAGTTCTCAAACAAAATCTTACAATCCAAACTGGTTCACATCAACTAAAATAAGTTCAAACATCTCAAGATTCTAAGCTTAGCATTTATGTGATCTAATTAATGATTGAGTGCCTTCATTTCTGCAAGCAACTCATTATTTGATTGGACAACCCGTTTGAGCAATGATCCTAGCATAGAAGAATGAACCAGAGGTTGTGATGTTGCTGGAGATGTTGAAGAAAGTGTTTGCTAGGGAGTACTGGCAATTTGAGCATCTTCACTTCTAGTTTCATGGTTTTTAGCGCAGAAATGACTCAGCAGGAATCTTCGAAATTTCATCCTTACCCAAGTTCTCCGAATTTACGTGCAAGGTGATGATAATAAGAGAGAAAATGGATCCATAGGATAGTAAGGCTAGCTTGATCTTAATATCATTCATACTCTCAAAAATTATGTGGGGCAAGTTAGTGGATCTTTTCCCACCATGTGCCACATTATCAAAGTTTCTAGGATGAAAACTTGAGTGAGACCCACTCTCATGTTTGCATAAATCAGTTAAACAATTCTAGGGAATACTCTGTGAAAGTTACTCAGAGAAATAGTTTTTCATTCTTCTTGTTTCAAGACTCGTTTAATCCAAAGTTATGGAGGTCAAGATGTGATTCAATCTTAAATTGAATAAAAAGAAAAATCTAAAGAGTTTAGTGTAACAACATATATCAAATGAGAACATTAGTTCTCAGAAAGTTTGTGAACCAAGAGAAAAGTTGAAAGCATAATCCTGCTATAAATAAAGAAAGAAAGAGAAAAGACACCTCATTTCTTCATTTCAATCACAAGTCCTTTATACATTTCTGAAGCAAAAAGACCAATTATAAAACTATTTGCTACACTCCTCATGCTTTATAGAATTTCTCCATAATCCAGACTACAACGACAACGTTAGCATAGGAAACAAACCCAAATTAGGATCAATTCGACAACTTAAATTCACTACAATTCTTTCCCCCAACACTTTTCATCTTTGGGTGTCAATCCCTAACTCTAAAAAACACATTTCCTAAGTCAAATGGCACTTTTAAACTACCTACAAGTGAGGTCAGTCACAAGACTCAAATTCGTGGAATAGAAAAAGACTAACCAGGGCTAGAACCACCTGAGAGTGTAGACCTGAATCATGTTAGTCATGGCAAAGCAAAGTTTGCTTGCTCTTAACATATCTAATCGAGAAAACACTACACTGCAGTGGGTTCATTGTAAACTACTGGCCCTACCAGTTGCGGGTATCGAAGTGGCTTGAGGAAAAGAGTGCTGCTTGACCATTATATTGTTGCCATCCAAGGCATTGCCTGGTGATGCACTGTCCTTCATGGTTTGCTCCAAAAGATGCACGAGCGACATGAATATTTCCATCCTGGTCACATCCCGGTTTGCCTGTATATAAATTTCAAACTACATGAGTTACAAAAATATTGCAAGGTACAAAGTGCAATTTAAACCCATAATTTGCATGGGGGAAATTACTCAAAGAAACCATTAACATCCTCTCATTTCTATCATGATTTAGCTTTTATCACAAGCATTCAGTCAACATTTGCTACAAAGATAGTTAACGTGGTTCTATGTTGTTTACCAAGTCAAATATGCAGGAGTGAAACTGTAATTTGACAAACACAAATACTGACAACTTCAACTTCCGGATACAGATCATTAACACCATGCCTTTTTTTAAATAGTTCGGATATCAAAGATGATATGTAAAGAAAAAAAATCCAATCTGAAAATGATACCTCTACAGCAAAGCGTGCCCATATCTTATCATTCCTCGCCTCTAGCACCCCTTTCAAGATGGTCAATCCCAGTCCTCTAATTAAGTCAGCGATTTCTAGAAAAAGACCCCGTTCTTCGCAAAGCATCTGCTGAGAGAAATAAGGACAAAATATGTAAGATAGTTTTTCAATGACCAAAAGACTCCGAAGGTAAATGAAATAGCCGTCACAACCTCCACAAGCATCTGACGTGGTGGGTTCAAATCCTCTACTATAATAGGACAGAGCATAGATTGAGAACCAACTTCATATGCCCATGTTGCCCCTCCCTCAAAGCTGTCTTTTAGAAGTAATCCACCTTCCTTGTTGATGATCTGCAAAATCAAACAGGAAAAAGGTGAAATGTTTCAGCGGTTTTGCATGGTTTCTTTGTCAAAAAAAATAATGAGAATGCAGCATCATGTTCAATCATCTAGTTCCACCAAGTTTCATCTTCGATCCAACATGATCCATGCCCAAACTAGTTCTTATATAATGATATTTATACAGTTTGACACACAAGTACAAATATATAACAAAACTTTCTCCTGCTTATGATTAAATTCAAACAATTATCTTCTCATATTTCACTCACTCAAAATCCACTGACAATTAGAGTCCTGCTAACTGGAAACAAGGGCATGGTTAATAGAGAAACAAAATACTATACCTTAGATTCCCCTGTTTGCTTTAGCTTGTCCGCATGCTTAGTTACACTTTGCAAGAAAAGCATATGTTTGATGGTACGTTCCAAAAGTGCATCTATGCTACACTGTTGAACAACAGCATGATGAAACAACAACATCAGGGTTTAAATTCTAAGATCCTCTGATAAGGACAAAGACATCAAGAGGAAGAGAAGCACAGTACCTTTGCCCCATTTGGTACAATTTCTCGCAACTCCTTCACACGATCTTGGATCATCTGCCGATCTTTAGGTCTGGGTCTAGGATTCTCCCCAGGCTTAAGTCGTTTGCGATTTGGCTTTGTGGGTTCATCGTTCCTTTTAGAATATGCAGTTGAAACACTACTCTCACGTTTCACATTATGGCCTTGTTCAACCCATGAATTGATTTGGGAACCATAGATGGATGTTTGCGAACATGTTCCAGTATCATCCTTGGTAAACTGAGGCCCAAGAGAACCAGATCCTAGTCTCCCTGCTTTTGCAAGGGACTTAGGAAGGCTGATTAATTCCCCTTGCAAATTATCAGACTCATTAACTTGACCACAGGAGAGAGAACAACTAGGAATAGATGAGCTACTGATTTTAGTTAATGCTGTTCTGCAGGAGACAGTATCATCAGAAATCTGCTTGGCAACAGACACAGACTGAGCCCCAGAGACCACGGCATCTAAAAGATGATCCATTCCTAACCCTGAGAACATACCACTGTTTGATATTCCTCCATCAACTGCATACAAATCAGTATCTGCGCCCTGGATATTAACAAGAGTTGAAATCTCCTGACTCAGATTTTCTGTCCTTGTTTCCTGACCATCAACAAGCAAACTATTCCAATTGTCATTAAGTAGCTTACTTTTAAAATCTGCACCCAATATAGCAAACAAGTCATCTCCTGATGAGGATTGGGTACGGGTATCTCCCCATTTTGCATCTCTAAATCTTGGACTCATGGTTCCATTTTCACCCATCAAGCAATTATGAATATAACCAGGGAAATGCTCCCTCAGAGGTAGATGCTCATTGTGATTAATCGATTGAATGTTAAGAGCTTGGAACAAATCATTATCCATCCTTTCTTTCTTTGGAGCCAAATCACCGCAAATTTGCTTCTTATCAGTGGAATCATGCCCTTGACCAAATTGGCCAGAAAGTCCCGGATTGACAACTGATTTTCCAGCCAACTTGGAAAGCAGAAGCTCCCCTGGCTTAGATGAACCAAGATTCTGAATTGCACTTCCCGCTACATTAATATCTTCTGCTTTCTGCATCTGTGGATGAATTTTTCCCACTTCACTATTTGATCCATCGTGCAATTTGCTTCTTCCAAGCAATAGGGTAGAAACTGAACCTATATGAGAATTACTGATTAGGCCCTCGTTTCTTTTAGTTTGAAAAGTAATCAAGATATTTTCTTGATTTGTAGTGTTACAACCATGTTCCCAGAAACCAGCATCTGAAAAGATCTGTTGTTCAATTACTTTGAGGCTGCTCTCACCATCTGATTGACCAATTAAAGGTTGACTACTTAATCCACACCTCGAATTAGATGGACCCAGCTGGTTCAGCCATGCATCAGGATTCGAGGGGATCACTTCAGCTCCTACAGTGCTAGTTTCTGGCAGACCTCTGGAAGGAAGCTTTGACTTCATCATTTGAATCATTTTTGTATTACAATAGTTATTAGGTTTAGCCAAAGTATGGACCAGGCTAGGGGCCTGGAATCTTAAAGGACTAAATCGTGGATCATCCCGAACTTGTCTAACTAGAGAAAATTGACTAACTTGTGGGGAAGGCTGAAATGAGTTGACAAGTTGATTGCAGTTGTCCATCATCAAAGGAGTGGAATTCACTGCCTTGTAAATTCCAGATGAATCCATGGTGACAGGTATTCCGAGAGAAACAGGTGCTCTGATTTTGTCCTGAGACTCTTTCACTCCATAGTTTTCAGAGAGAAGAGCTCCAGGGACACATCCTAGTTGCAGGATTAGACTCTTCACATCATTCACAAATCCCAAGTTCTCCATAATCTGAAGCACCATGGACTTTAAAGATAAATAAACAGACCATAAAGAAACAGTAAAAGAGATATTATTTTGTCCATTAACAAATCAACCATACATAAAAATGTTTCTAAACTGGAGATTAGTTGTCATATTAGCGGAAAGATGAGGTTGCTCTGGAGGAAAAAATTTATTAGAGCAAAAATTTTATCTTGAAGCCAGAATAAATTAATCAAGTGCTCAGGAGGAAGATTCAAATTCCACAGCAAGCTAGAACTGAACAGAACCACAGAGTTCTTTATGTTTCCCATGAACTAAACTTCCACTGATCCCATGCAACTCCCAGCTAAAAGGCAATGCAAGGACTCAACCTCTTAATAATTGAAAATTCAAGCCCCTAATTGAGCAGCACATGCCAAAAAACCTTGAACACGACCCAAGGATCTTGATAGGGAAGCCTCAATACCTAATCACCATTAGGGTAAGTTTGAAAAAAAATGAATCGCAAGCAGTTGGCATGTGCTAAAAGTCATTTCCTTGTTGATTTTTCAAACTACAAGATTTTTTTTTGTTTTTGAAATAATTTCAAACTACAAGATTATTTAAGCTAACTTCATACCTAACCCACCAATCTAATAAACACTGACTCGGGGCCATCTCAAACTGTTCTATGAATCAGGTCATGTTACAATTCACTTGGGCCAGGGATTATAATATCATTTAGATATCTAAGATCAGTAGAGACACAACAGAACATTGACGTGAAGCACAATACAGAAGCAAAGTAATACTACAGACATATAGACAACAAGGCAGAAAATGTAAATAAAAGGGCTTACCGTCAAGGATGAAGCAAGTTGAACAACACCATGTGGGAGGACAGGAATAACTGCAACAGTCTGAAAATCAAATATAGGCTAGGATCAGACAATGCTGCAATGAAACATCATACAGCTACCATCTAAAATCAGGAAGATAAGGAAAACTATTATCAAACCTGCATGCCAGCTGAAAATTGGAGATGCACCTCATTCAGAACCTACATGCACCCATTGGGGGGGAAAAAAAGAAATCAAGGAAGATCCAGCTAGCAGGAAAGAAAAATGTTAGAGGAACTGGCTAGCCCCCCACAGCAAACCACATTTATCAAATCAGTTAAAGGTATTACTTCTCATCTAAAACTGTAGAAATCCAGCTTCACATATCTTTTTTTCTGAAATAAAAAATATAATATGGTTCGTTCACAGGCACCAAGGGAATGCAAACCCATGTACAAAATATTTACATATCAATCAAAATATCAAAAAGGACCCCAAGATTTTCAAAAGAGTAAAGAGGATGACCCTTAGTTCCAAAACACCCAGAAATATTGAAGAACGAAAACCTCAATGTTGTTTTGCAGATAGCAGGATTCACTTCCCAAAGGAAGATCATCAAGCTCTAGATAGAGAGCTGATAAATTCATTATTAGAACGAGGAATTATTTCTAATACTCGTTCACTGTAAACCCTCGGCAACCCAATCTCAATATTATCAAAATAAGAACATACCTCAGGTGGGTGGGCATCTCTGATATAACTATTTGAAAGAATCCATTGATGGTTTCCAGTAAATGCAGCTCTGCCAACTAGTCTGGAATCCCAAAAAAATCATGACCAATTCAACAATCATTCACTTACCAATGTGAAATTCATATGAACACAAAAAAAGAGAGTGGAAAGAAAACTTGCCCTTCCCCTACATGATTGATGCGAGTATTTATCATCATTTTGTTAATTAGCAAATTGACAGAATCAGATACTTGATTCTCAAGCTGAGAGCAGCGAATTTCGGAAGTTCTACATCCTTCCCACTCTCTAGAAGACAACTCAGTGCTCTCAATTCCAGGAATGCTGGGAGGAACTGAATTCAGCATAGGTTCGTAGTAAATTCTTCCCATATTAATAAACTGCCAAGGAAGATATATTGTTGAGACAATGCAACATAAGAACCATTTCACTCCTACAAAGTTCTAAAGCAGCAAGGAGAGTAAATGCGAAACATCAATTCTTAGGTCACACCATAAGAACTTGTGAAGACATGCAGACCTTCATACCCTTTTTTTTTTCGAGCAAAAACAAAAGTTCCCATCTTGATTCGCTTCCCAACAAAGAAGAGGAAAAGGAAGGATAACCAAATTTCAGAAGTTTCATGTAAATGCATATCTTGACCCAAAAGATTGGGAGGAAAAAGAAAACTGTACTGTACCAAGTAGTAGTAAAAATCAAGTTGGATGATATGCTAATCATGTGTAACAGTATACAGCGGAAAGTTCCAAATGCCATTTCCTTCTCCTTTAAGTAAATTTATGAGAAGCCAAAAAGTGTATGATGAAAAGCAAATAATCAAGAGATCCTTTCATTAACTGATAAAATTATTTAACTTTTCTCATTTGGAACAACATGATGAGGTTGAATAGAAGAAGACAAATTCCAAATCAAGAAATTTACATGGGGAAAAAACAAAGAAACAAAAAAAAACAGAGAAATAAGAAAGGATTTTTGTCAAACAAATACAAATCTGCTTTTCACTTAGATTAGATTCCCTTGGACGAAACAGAATAAACCAGAACACAAAGCTCCAAAAACCAGGAAAAAAAAAGAAAGGCATCGGGTTCCGAATCAAATGCAAAATAACAGTTTCACCAATCAGACCATAGCATGCAAACAGTATCTAAGAAACATATGAACCTTACCCCTAAATAGCCCAAAAACAAAAGCACCATGAAAAACAATAGTTACTTGTACAGTCATACTACAAATCCTGTTTGGTCAAAAAGAAAAGAAATAGAAATATGTGTTAAAAAAAAATAAAGGTAAAGTGTTCACTTCTGAGTTTCTTTGGGGAAAACTACAAATACCTTAAAAAACAACCTGACTTACTAAAATTAGGCATATTTCTCTTTTCTTTCTATTATTTTTTCAAAAAAAAAAAAAGAAAAATGAAAGACGAAAAAAGAAACTAAATTTTCACTGTTTTTCTTCCTTCCATTTTCTCAGAAAACAAACAGAGAAGTATACAGATACAGGGCTTATATACCCACAAGTCTACAATGAAAATTAAACTGTTTACAAACCAAAAAAAAAGATTTCTTTATAATATTTTTTCCTTCATTTTCATACCAACAACAGAGAAGTATTCACCTAGTGTTCTGGCAGCCGATCTTCCAAAACACGGCGTAGGACCACCTATTCCCGGCCGTACACAGCGTCTTTAAAGCCTCTCTCAGCAGCAGCCCCATCGCTTGTCTTCAACGCCGGATACAGCCTGGCTCGTAGCTCAGCTCCTTCCGAAATTTAAAAATTAACAAAACGAACTAAAACCCAAGTACTGCAACCATGCAAAACCACCATAAACAACAGGAACAAGCAGATTAGACCTGTAAAGAAAAACCAGCAAATCCAGAAATCTAAAAGAAAAAGGAAATATCTTCCGTACCCTTCTGTTCTTTTGAGTAGATGAAATTGATAAACTAACTACCGCGGCAAGATCCTCTTCCCGCCTGCTTCGTCCTCAAACCACCACTCCTCTTCCTCTCTGGATCCAAGTTCCCAGCGATCATTCTACGGCATCCCATTTCCGGGAGAAAGAAAAGAAGTTTCAAAAGCAGACGAGAGCGAAAAAAGAAATAAGCAATCCCCAAGCTGGAGACGACAGAAGAAGAAGAAGAGCCCAAAAGGGTGTAGATGTTCTACACTATGCCGCAAGCCTCGAATTTTAGAATACTCATGATCTGCTCCATTTCCACAGCTCAGGATTTGACTTTAAAGAAAACAAAAGAAAATAATGAAGCAACGCGGATAAACACTAGAAGAAAAAAGAAATGATGTAGAAAGGACAGTGGTGGATGTTTTAAGATTGAGACTTGGGATTTTCTCCCGTGTCCGAAACTGTGCGTATTGGGTATTGCTGTTTTTTTGGATTTTTCTTGTAATTGCGGAAACGAATGGAGGAAGAAGACGACGTCTGGTGCTGTGCTCTCTGGCTCCTCTTCACTTTCAGGTCTCTGTGTGATTCTCTTCCTCCTTGCTAAAGTGCTCCGCATTAATCACTAAAAGGAAGGGAAGCAAGACAGGGTTTCAAAACTAGACATGGAATTTCCATTTAATTACATGTTTGCCACTGTGCAAATGTGTGTGGACACGTCTTTTGTCGGCTACTGGTAGAGTACAAGAAATATTACTTAAAAAAAAAAAAACAAAAGGTGTTTCTTACCAAAATAATAAACAAACAAGAATATCTTTTTTTAATAATGCATAAAAATTTTATTTTATATTTTATTAAATATAATATGTGTATATATACATATACACATATATATATATGTATATTATAATAAAATTAATTTTTATTTAATGGCTTTTTGGACCAAATAAAGTTGAAGACTACTTTTGGGATATGGTAATTTAGTTTAGTTGAGTAAAATAAGTTAGTGAGGAATTAAATTTTTATCTTATCCTATATATTTGTTAATATATTCTAAAATATTATATTTTTTTATTTATTTATATCAATAATACTGATAGTTACAGTAGTTACGAAAATTATTAATAGCAGAGGTATTACTAGTAATGTCAATAACGACAAAAACAGTAGTAATAATAACGATCACGATAATCGTAGCTAATAGTCGTAACAGTACAGATGACACTGCCACAATAGTGGTAGTGATTAGAGTAATGATAATAGCGATAGCAATACAGTTAATAACAATCACAACGGTTATCGTGATTGTGAAAAGTGAGAAGAGTACGGACAGCAACGACACTGGAAAGATAAAAACCTCAATGGTAGTCGTTATACTAATACTAATAGCAATGTAAAAATAACAATACGAGTGGCGTTTACAATGCTAATAGTAACGGTAAATACAATAAAAATACAACAGCAATAATAGTAGTGCGATTGTGGTAATAAGTTAGCGATCGCAATAACATACGAGCAACGACAGTAATATAGATGACAATATAATGTTTTTGTCAGGAGGATAATACATTCACATGATTGTTGGCACTAGAAATTAGTTGATAGTCAAACAACTCGTATAATAAGATTTTACGAGAGAAATTATCCGTATAATAACCAAAATAGTCAGAAGTGGAACGACTTTTATAACCGACGATGCACTTTATTTTTTGTTGAATATATTCATATCATCCATATATCAATTCACGTGAATGTTATTAAGTAGTTACTTAATATTAGTTTATTATTCTATATTAACCGTATATCTATTAATCACAGTAATTAAATTATTACCGTGCGATTTTCATCGTGTGCTTGATGGGTATTAAATTATAATTTATAGATTTAAAATATAATATAATATTATTAATTATATAGAATGGAAATTAAAATTAAACTCAAATTTAATTATTATTTATACGAAATTAGTATAATGTTTTAATACCTAATATTAGAACTTTATACTAATTTTAAATTGGCTTTTTTTATATATATAATGAATTAATTTTGGCGGATAAATCCACTACTTTTGCTGACTCAATATGACACGTGCACTTTCCACCTAATAATTCCATTATTTAATTTAAATTTAAGTTAAATTTCGAAAATTATTTATTATTTTGGAATTTTCTTCCACTTTTCCAAATTAAAAAAAGAAATTACATTTTTTTTTAAAAAAAGAAAGTGCTCTGGCGAGTGTGAACAGAGGATGAGGCAGTGCGGGTCATTGTCCGCATGACGTCATCTATGACATTGCCCCTGATATTCTCGAAAATTACGAGAGTGCCAGAAACTTTAATACGACACGTGTACGGTTCTGATTCTTTGATTCGGATCTCAAACGAATATGCGTAGGCCAAATTTTGATAGGGTATTTTTAAAAAATAAATAAATAAAGGAATAGGAAAAGTTGGTAATTTAATTATTTTTATAATTAAAATATTCATTTATAGTTTGAATATATAATTATTTGATTTTCAACCCGCTTTATTATTATATTTTTTATAAAACAAATGTGAGAATTTAAATAATTATTTTAAATAAAAAATCTTAAAAGAGAAGCATTATTTAAATTTATTATTATAAAATATATTTTTTTATAATAATTACTAATTTTTAACTTAAAAAAATTATTGTCTTAAAATTTTAATTATTACCATTAAGTGTTTAACTTTTTGTATTTTTAAAATTAATCATTTACTTAATTTTTAATTATTAAAATAAACAATATCTCCATATGGGCATAAAGTTGTCACGTTTGTAATTATTTTCTATTTTTTTTTCTCCGTTATTTAAAAAAAATCATAAATTAAATATAAATTTATAAAAATATAAAAAAATATATATTATAAAAAAGTATATTATAAATAATAAAATTAATCACATACTTATTACCTCAGCAATTATTTTCTGCCACGAGTGATAGTAATATTTTTAAAAGTTGATAACTTTTTTTTTATTTAAAAAAAGAAATATTAGTGACTTAATTGTAGTAAACTTATAATTATTGATTAAATTAAATTATAATCTGACATCTAGTTCATATAATTTTCTAAATATAACCCAAAAAAAAAAAAAGTACAGAAGTTCATTAAAATCACTTAAAAAATCAATTTAAAAAAAATTTACAACATGATTAATTGAAACTTAATTCATCTGAGAAAGTAATAAAGAACAATAAATTTTGGGTTTAATTTCTTTATAGTTTTTACCTACACACACACACACACATGTATGTATATATATATATATGTATATGTATATGTATATGTATATGTATATGTGTGTATATTTGTTGGGTCAAT